GTAAGAAATGCTACATAAACCTAAGTGGAAGCAGTGGCTAAATTAGAGCTGGGGAATGCTTTAGTCAGCTAAATACACAAAAAGTGTTACTAAAATTGTGTTATAGACTTGATCACGTATTTCTTGTAAATAGAAGTTTTTCTCTAAACAGAAGTTCAGAAGCAATAGAGTATGAATACCTGGAAGGAATAAAACAAACATTGAGATTAATCATATTTCCAGAGTTTACATCTATGCTAGTAAATAAAGTGCTCCGAGATCTGTTCTCTGACCATGAGGTCAAATGGCTCATCACTGTTTATATCCACGTTGCTTAACCCTAACCCTGCAAGTCATCCAAGCTGCTTATTGGGAATCCCCCCTGGCCTGTGCTAACTCCAAAAGCATGCTTAGCACTTGTTTGGAAGAATCATAGATGGCATGTGTCTGAAACTGTACTAAAAATATAAGGATGTGAGTGACTACAGGCTGATGGCCAGGTCTGGGCCCCAGAACTGCTCAATGTACTGGGACAAATGGAGCCAGAGTGAACAACTGAGGAGTCAGAAAGTGTCCCTCTGGCTCTTAGCCCTTTAAGCTCCCACTCTGCTGGTGATCTGCATTTTTTGAATGACACTAAGTTCCAGGTCATGCTGATAGACCTTCACCAGCTACTTCTGAACAGTGAGGGAACTGGAGCCCCTTTGCCCTTCTGTGGAATAAGATTAGGAAGTTCAGGAAACCTCCTTCAAAACTACTGTAAGGCACAGATTGTGAGACTCCCATGTACTTAGCATAGATGTGTTTTGGTGGTTTCTTCTAAATAGTCCTGTGCATTTGTTGTCACAGTAACTGTGCATGCTTATTTTCAAAAGGCTGCTCCTCATTAGGAATTTATGCTGGTCCTCAGATGATACAGCAATGCTTTGATGATGCAGATACCTTTAACATTTCACAAATTTCACAAATGAGCACATAGAAACTATCATGAAGTACAAGTTTAATTCTACTGCATTGTAATATAAATGAACTCAAAGGCAATTTAAAATGTGATAGAACTTACTGTGGAAGTATAGACACTGTCCATCATCTATATCCACTCCTTAAAAATACCGAAACCAAGATTTTTGTTATGATCCAGAAAGTATGTCACTAGTTCAGAGGTCTAGCTGCTTACTAGGTACAGCCTTACACTTCAAACTGGAATGAGTTGGCAGAAAAAGGCCATTGGAGATTCTCCCTTGGCAGGTGGACCCCTTGTTGAGAAAGACTCAGCACCCAAAGTCAATGTCACACAGCTGTCCTTCCAACTGTGCAGAGGCAGGCAGAGATGGAGGTGATAAAATGCATAGCTCCTCACTCCTCAAATCTGACAGTGATGTTAAACAAAGCAGACCGTGGCTGCAGTAATACCACTGCCAAACTAGTGCTGAGTCAGACAGATATAACCAGATCCCAGGTGATTAATTCAGCCTCGAAGACAGTGCCAGACTAAAGGCAAACTCATATTTTTTGATTGCTAAAAATTTTTAGAAGCTATTTTACTGGCAAGTCAGAAAGACAAATGTTGCTATAACCTGATAAAGCTATAGAGGTTCTCCAAGGGCCAGATGGATGAATTTAGGAGTTGTTTCTGGAATGGTACCCAGATATGAAATCTACTTACAATTAGATCAAGAAACCTTGAATTGATTCTGCTTTTTCTTTATACATAATTGCATGCAATGCTCCTTTGCTGCGTGTGAGCCTGTTGTCCCTGACTGTCAACAGTCCAGTGGCCACAAGCAGTGTAAGAAAACTAAGCACCACAGGAGCAGCAAACCCACAATGGAGATTCTTTTGGGTCCTGCAAATGGAAAGTCCTCAGGAACACACACTGACAGCCCAAGAAACCAGCAAGAGTGTTTTCTTCTCCCTGGTCAGAATCTCTGCTGCCTTTGCTCTGCTGGCCCTGGTCTCCAAAGCCACCAGCCAGGCTCAGGTGCTGGACGGGCTGGGTTTTAACCTCACTGACACTCAGGAGGGCACACCACTTTTCATTTTCTGTCATTTATTTTAATTCTGGGAGTTACATGTGCCATGTCTAAGTTCTTGTACTGTTGTACTTAATTAAGGGTTTTGGTCTGCAGTCTTAACTACTTGAGTTTGATGGAAAAAGAAATTCAAGCTAAGATTCAATTTGAGAGCAAAATTCTGGCCTCACAGTTTACCTACTATTACTTATTTTTCCCTCTCTTTTATTTGAGTGATTTTTATAAAACTTATAACAGCTATTTTGAAAAGCTTTGATACTGTTAAGTAGGTCTACAACACCAATATCTTCATCTGGGAAGACAGTATGGAAAATACATTAGTAGAATTTGAGATGAGCTGTCAGTGACAGATTAACCATCTTGAACACTAAAATGCTGTTTGATTGACTCCAATGCAATACACATCAGGTCTTAAATGCTTATATGCTCTTGGGAACCCTTTTTCTTTCAATGCTAGGAGATTAGGTACAGAAAAAGCAGAAAACATAAAATATTGTTTTCTGAACACTGATGAAATTATCATCTGAGGTAAAATGTCTGTTATGAGAAATGGAATCACACCCTGGTAATAACTTATTTCCTTCTGAGACATAACACTAAAGAAATAAAATAGATTATTTATAAAACTTCCATCTAGCAGACTACGAGTTTATATGAAAATTTGGTTCAAGGATTCCTATTGCATTGGTGGAAGAAGCTGAAAACAAAATAGAAAAGGTCTAGCTTCTATTCCCAGTTCTGTCACATACTTTTGCTTAGTCTTCAGCATTTTTTCTTTCTGTCAGTCATACTGCTTTTTGAAGTGGGAGCCTGAAGTACTTCCATTTTTGGGGGAGAAAAGGATGAATATTTGTAAGACATGGAGAGCACATGTGGGATGCCTTTTACAGAAAAAGATAAGTATACAGAGAGGACTTGATTTTATTCTAGTTACAGCGGTTTTGCGATTATACCAAACTCCTGATTTTACTGGATTTATGTGTATCAATAAGTTTATTTAGATGAACTTTGCACAGATATATGTTGAATGATAGATCTTTATAGGATGAGGATTTATCATGCAAAGTACACATTCATCTTGCTCAATCCTTATCTTGCTGATATTTTCTTTTTGCAGTCATAAATCCTTTGCCCTGGAATACCCAGAAATATAACTTGCAAAGCTAGCAGAATAATCTGATGACCAAACAGCAACAGAAATAAGTTAATGATATAGGATGAAACTGCTCCTGCAAGGTGGAACCAAGACGTTGCATAACTGAGCAGACAGTAGGGACAGAGATAATTAAATTATTCTTTAATTCCTTTCATATAGACCATTATTAGGGAAATGGGAAAAGCATGTTTGTCAGTCCTTTCTATGAGTCCCCTGGCTCCTGGAGCAAGAGTCCTCCTGTCCCAGCCACTGCATATCTCAAAGCACCCAGGAGCTCCATACTCTCTTCTGTGTAATTCCCCTTGATGGATCTCCTTTCTGCAAAACTGCACAAAATTTCCAGCTTAGCCTTGCATTTCCCAGTGACACCTGTCCTGGGGACACAGACATTTTCACCTACAGGAATGTGCAGTGAATCAACAAACTGTTTTCCCTTCCCTGGGTTCTCACAGACCTGCCACCTGGCAGACATGCAGGTGATACCCACATGTGGTGATTCACCCTCATTTTCCATTGCATTCAACAGAAGAGACACGTTTTCCAAGAGTCTCTGTTTCTTACACCTATGACCTAAGGGAGATTTTCAAAGGACTAGGTGTGACTGATGCATTCATTATCCATGCTGATCTGTCTGGAATTGCTGGGAAACTGATTCTTCGCAAATGATCATTTGTGGGTCTGCTGTAACTGCTGACCTTGCCTAGGAAAAGATGGGTCAGATCAGAAAAGCTGGTGCTTGGGAGTGGTGAGCAGAGACAGATGCAACTTTCCACCCTTTCTCTGACATGCTGAGTGCTGCTGCATGTCCTGGGAGAAAATAGAGGAATCACTGCAGCAGCTTTGCCATTCCCAGAAATTCGTCTCTGGAAACATAGCATCCTTCAGATGATTAGCCAAGCATTAGGACTGGGCTGAAAGATTAATGCTATCTATGTAGGCAGGCCTAGACTTGAGGAAAATAGCTTCTCATTGCTAGAGTTAAGCAACAGCATACTTGCTGCTCCTGAGACTTGGTCCTTTTACATAATACTAAAATAAACTTGTTGGGTACTTGCACGTCATGAAAAAACCCCTCTCTGCAGAAATACATTCTGACCAACCCTACCTCTGTCTTGTAAGAGAGAGTAGTTACATAGCAACAACTATGGTGGATTGATTCCTATGTGTAGATAAGTTGTAAGTTTACCTGGGGCAAAATCATGTACATTTGATGGAAATAATTAGTCATTGCTAATTAGGATGGGTGACATGCATCTCATCCTTAAATAACCTTCTAAATAGCTAAATTGTGCCTGTTTCAGCTTCCTCTGAAAGAGAACCCAGTGTAAGGTAGTATACAGTATATATGTAATGACATATATTGTATGTATACAATTCATGCTTTTCCTTTGCGTATATAACACGGGGGGGGGGGGGAATGTTCTCCCCAGCTAAAATTTTGCTGTGGGAAAGCTTGCCCATTTCATTCTTCCATTTGTTTTCTTATTTTAGCTATTTTTCAAGCTATACTATACTTTACTTTTTGCTCTAATAGTTTTTAAAATACCCATCAAAGGCGTTTCAAAAACCTAACCAGTGTTCTGACTATCTGACAGGTGTTGACCGAGGGACCGGCTCCACACTCATAGCCTCTCAGAGACGGGGCCGGATGGTGCTAGCCACTGTGCTGGGTGGCAAAACCCACGATATTCACACCCTGAGGATCCGATGCTGAAAAGCCTTTATTCAAACAGACAGAGGATTCATAAGGCTTCTGGGGGAAGGCTCAGGAAGTGAGATGTGATTGGGTAAAGGCTCAGGGGAAGGAGGGGCTTAGGTACTCAGCTAGCCAATGGGAGAAACGGGAGGATCAAAACCTAATAGAAACCCAGGGATTGGGGAGAGACGGGTGAGACGACCAATGGGATTAGGACAGAGGCGGGGCTGGCTCAGTGGGCAGGACAACATGGCGCTGTCCAGGGAAGCCGCTGCGTGGGGGGGAATAACAAAGCTTAAAGTGAAACCATACAATAACAACCACAAGTCCTAAGCTTAAACTGTAAGTGTCTCTAATTTGTCTAATTCCGGAGGGTTGCCGTCGTGGTGATCCTGTTGCCAAAGGTGTTCTTTCCACATTTCGTAGTTAGGGCTTTCTCCCACAACTATCCTTTTTCTAATAAGTTAATGAGTCCATCAAACAATACCAGTTAGGGTATACCTACAGTGTGCACTACAGAGCAGGATGGAGATACTGAGCTGTTCCTGAACAAACTTGCTGCTGCCTTTGGTACTCAGTTAGATGGCATTGTTTCATCAGGAAATCCTGTGCAGAGAGTTCAGTTACAAGGTGCAGGCACAGTGTCCAGTGCTTTGGCCCTTTCTTAGCTTTCCAGTTCTTTTCATGTTCTGTTCTCTAAAACTCATTTACCATGGTTATGCTAGACCACCTTGCAAAGCTCTTTTGCCAACAGTTCTGTTCAAGCCCAAGAGTAGCAAAGTCCATGGTCTTTCTCTCCCTTTAGAGCCCTAGGTGTTGGCATCATTCTGCCTGTGTGACGGGAAACAAAGGATTTACAGTGATTGATATTCAGAAAAAAATAGCTTACTCAACCTTTGCTTTGCAAATAAATCTTATTTGCCCTGTTTAATATTTACCAGTGGACATTAACTTAATATTAGAAGGCAAATCAAGAATAGGAAAGAAGCACTGTGAAAGGTCGGTCCAGCACAGTAAGTACCATATTGTACTTTCTTAGAAGTCTTTTAATCTATGTTGTGTGTGATCCCTGCTATTTAATGCACAGTATTTAATTCTGAGATTAATTTATTTTGTACAGTAATATGGAAATTATTTTAGGGTCTGAAAGCATGTTCAGGATGTTTGAAGCAGGATTCATTCAGTGATCTATCTCATAGCTATAGTGACAGGATGATTGGGACATGAAGTCCAAAATGAATACTCAACAGTCAATACCAAGATGTCTAATGAGTAAATTTAGTTGTAATCTCAATGTCCTGACTATTCTAGGCTGATGCAGGAATGAAGATAGTTGCATTATTTCTCTCTAGTGTGCTTAAAGACCAGATGACTTGCAGTTAAGAGGCCAGAAAGATAAATCAAATCTCTCTCAAAAGCAGATTGGGGGAATTATGAAAAGAATGCTTACCAGACCAAAATGAATTACCAGTATTTAGAATGCTTTTTTTCCCAAATCGATGTTCTTATCCAGAATTTTACACATGCTGAGCACAACTCCCATACTCAGCCCTTCCATAGCTTGTATCTCCAGTGTTTCATAACAGGCAGCCAGAAAAGGGGGAACCTGGAATTAACAACTCCCCATGAAAAGTTTGATGCAAGACCTAAACCTAACCTGGCATTAGACACACAGCCTGAGGCAGATTTGGGGGCAGAATCCCATGCTCCAGGATGAGTATATAGCTGCTATGAACAATATTCAGACCATCTCGATTTTCCTGCAGGCCACTGCCCACTTCATGGATTTGAGTTTCTGTCATTCAAGGTGATTTAGGTAAGGAACTCTATGGAGAACATTACTCTCCAGTATATTTCATGGTTCTTTCCCTGAAAAGGGCAGAAGAGAGACTGTGAGGTTGTGTAGAATTTGCTTAAGTCAGTTAAAGGAAGAGAAAATGTCATCAAATTACACATACACAACAAGGCATTTTCCACTGTAGCTTTTCCTAAGCTCTCGAGTCTCGGGCTTCACAGCCTTATGGGTAGTTTATGTGCAACAGAGAGAGCCAATAAACTTTCTCAATTTGTCCTCAATTTGCTGAAACATTGAAGGTAATATCTTGAAATAATAATATAGGTCTTGAGTCAGAGCTGCTATGAAAGAGACAGAAAGACATGAAAAGTTTAAGGGATGAGCATTGAGGTGGATTTTATTCACAGCTATAACTGACTGTATCTCTGCAGTTTTTGAAAACTAATGTCATAACAAGACCATGGGTAGTAGAGAAACATATCAGCAAAAGTTGGTCCCTCTGCCAAAGTGCTTACCACATACATGGGTGCCCACGGATTAACTCAGTCATGCATCCCAAGGCACTTCGGGAGTGCACTAAGGCCATGCTGGTCAGAGGCAAGAACTACTTCACACACAATACCTCACAAAAGCCTACACAACATTGATTCTTTCCTGGCAATGCCACATTACTATCATTCTTCCTTTGCTCATTGGTCACAAACTAAGAGAAATTACTAGACATAGACCATCCAGGAGGCCAAGTAGAAGAGTATTTCTAAATAGAAAAGTAATTTTAACAACTGGCATCCGAAACTCAGTATCTAGAACACAAAAACATTTTATGTAGGAAAGAAAAAATTCTCTAGATCTAAAAGTTGTTCTGTTCTTTCTTAACAGAACTCTTCAGAAGGACAATGAAGTCTGCATTGTATTTGTGTTTGTTACTTCTTGGACTTCAAGTCCAGGGTCAGCAGCAGGAGCAACAAATACCCCATTCCCCAGAAGACCATTCCCAGGCTGAAGATGAAAACCTCCCTCATGTCAAGATAGCCCCCAGCAACGCTGACTTTGCATTTAGGTTTTACAAGCAGGTCAGAGAGGAGGCAGGCAACAAGAACATTTTCTTCTCTCCTTTGAGCATCTCCACTGCCTTTGCAATGCTGTCCCTGGGGGCCAGATCAAACACACTCAGAGAGCTGCACAAAGGCCTTTTCTTCAACCAGACAGAGATGGAGAAGCAGGAGATACATGAAGGATTTCGGTGTGTCCTCCAGCTGCTGAGTGACCCTCATCGAGAAGTCCAGTTGAACATGGGCAATGCCCTGTTCATAGATGATCGACTGAAACTTCTTCAAAAATTTTTGGATGATGTCATACATTTTTATTATTCTGAAGCTATTTCTAGTAACTTTCAAAATCCTCCAGAGGCTATAAAGGAAATCAATGAGTACGTGGAAAGAAAAACACATGGCAAAATTGTTGATTTAGTTGAGAGTCTTGATCCGAACACCATGATGGTTCTTGTTAACTACATTTTCTTTAAAGGTGAGTGACAAACACGAGTAGCAGTTATACATATAAGCTCTGGAAGTTCTAAGAAAAGTAATTTTTTTCAGATTGTGAACCTATCCTATCATTTAATTTAAAACACATCTTTCTATTTTTAAATTATATAGCTAAATATTTGAAAGCCAGGTATGATAAATCATTTTCTATATGAGGAAAAAAAAAGAAAAAATAAAAGAACTGATTAATATCATATCAATTTTAAGCCAGGTTCAGAGCTGAAAATATTCAGAAAGTATGAGCTTGGGAACTTATGATCATGTGTTGAAAACCACAGGTTTCTGTGCCTTTCTGGTTGTGCAAAACATGGTCAAACATGGATGACACTTGCATGGTTGGAGTCCATGAAAAATTTACCATTGCTTCAACAGGCAGAGGCTCATCTCTTTTCTATGGCAACCGTCAACTTATATTTTCTTGTGTGATTTCTATTAAAACCATTGAAAGGAGGTAAAGTTTCTTTCCAAAGCATCCTTAAACTGAGATAGGCTGGTTGCTGCCTCTACTGTTCAATTACAACATTTTAAGCATCAACTAATGCTACATGCCTTTATTAGTCTCTTTTTTGAATTCTGTACTCATTCTTTTGTCAAAAGGTTCCTGGGAAAAACCTTTCAACAATTTGAACACGAGAGATGATGACTTCTTCTTGGATGCCAAGAATTCTGTTAAAGTCAAAATGATGCATCAAAACAAAGCCTTTAATATTCACAGGGATGAAAATTTGTCTTGCTGGGTAGTAGAAATCCCCTACACAGGAAATGTTACTTCATTGTTTGTTCTGCCTGATGAAGGGAAAATGAAACACGTGGAAGATGCTCTGCTGAAAGAAACAGTGTCCAACTGGATGGAATCACTTAAAATAAGGTAATATTTTAATTGTGGTTTTGCTTAAATATTGAACTGGCCAAAACTACTCATCTGGGAAAGGTAAAGCTTAGGATGTCAAAATGAATTGCTAAGCACAGCTTTGAGGAACAAGCATTGCTTAGTTTCTTTAACTCAGACAAGGAATCATGTGATTTCATAACTAAAGGCAACCCTCTACTCAACCCCCTTAGTCACAGCAGTGAGAGTGCTACCAGTTGTGAGGATCCTGCACATGGGTACATTGCCCTCAGGAACTTGCCGTCAGTAGGAAGAATCTAGTTCAAAAGAAAATACAATTTATTTTTCTCCAGTCTGGATGATAGTTTCCAGCCAGTCACTTTCCTAGACTATCACTCTGTCCCTGCACCACTGATCAGGCTGTGGTTGGTGGTATAGGTACCTCAGTTTCTGCTTCTCTAACATGGGATTTATCTCTGTCTTAGGAAGCCAAACCTTAGCTCCACAGGTATTTGGGATGGGTGTATACCTGCCATAGCTACTGCATCAAGGAATCTTGCAATAACAAACTCACATTTTTCATTTATTTTTGAAAAGAGAAGTCTACCTGGACCTTCCAAAATTCTCTGTCTCTGGCTCCTATGATGTTAAGAGCTTGTTTGAGAAAATGGGTGTGACAGAGGTGTTCAGTAACCAGGCTGACCTCTCCGGAGTGGCAGAAGAAACCCTTCTGAAGGTTTCCAAAGTAAGTATGCAAAGAGAGATGGTATTATGTATATAGCTTTTGTTATCTGAGCACTTCAGAATTTATATGGACAACAGACTTGTGGCACCGGGATAGCCCCATTTCACAAACAAGAAATGAATATACAGATAAACAAAATTATTTCTCCAGTGTCCTGTGGGATATATGCTTTGTGTCCTGAGGGAAGTGATCCTTCCCCTCTATTCTGCACTTGTGAAACTACCTCTGGAGTACTAAACATCCAGTTTGGGGCTCCCAACACAAGGGACATGTGGACACATGGGTGCAGAGTGAGTCCACTGGAGGGTGAGTAGGATGGCTATGTGGCTGGAGCGCTGGATGTATGAGGAGAGGCTGGGAGACCTAGAGTTGTTCAGTCAGAAGAAGAGATGGTGAAGAGGGAGTTCTTAGCACTGGCTACAGATGCCTATTAGGAGGATGCAGGGAAGGTGGACACAATCTTGCAGATGCACAGTGATATGGCGAGGGGCAACACACACAAGATAGAAAATAGGACATTCTGATCAGATATGTAAAAAAATTCACCACAAGGGTGATCAAAAACTAGTATGGATTACTTAGAGAGTCTATGAAATTTCCATCCTTGGAAATATTCAAACCCTGACTGGATTAGACCCCGTGTAACCTTATCCAGTGTGAGAGGTGACACAGTGTAGCATTGGTTGCATTCGATGGCCTCTACAGGTCCTTCCATTATATATTGTTTAATGACTTGGTAATTCCTCATAATGTATAATGTCTTATAACATATGGACATCTAGATTATGGATACAGGACAGGTAAATAGAGGAAGGGTAGCAGGGACTCATGAGAGGAAATTTTAGATGTGCTATGGACAATGAAAGAAGAAAGCAGAGGGCTAACCAAAGACAATGAAATAAGATCATGTGAATTCCTAAATATGAATTTGCTATACTTCCCATAGAAAGCTCTGTAAAGTCTTATCTGTGGGCTATGTTACAGAAAGAAAAATTATAAAGCTTGTCACTATTGTGCCTTTGCAGAAAGAATTTTTTTTGCATACACAGAAATTGATGCAAAATGAAAACTTACTTCTATGTTCAATACTAAGGACAAAATCTTACTCTGAGAAACAACAGAACAGTAAATATCCTCTATGTTGCTCAGTCTTTGCTAGCAGCCAAGTTTGACTCCAACAGAGTGTTGAAGAGAATTCTCCCTAAACTCAGAGCAGGCTTTGCTTGTCTTGGAAGGGCTGGACGTTAGTATTTTTTTCACACAAGTTCTACGTTTATTTCTGTGATTTCTTTTAAAGATTACCTTCTCACAGTGTTAAGGCAAGCAATTTTTTCCCCAGCTGGTTAATCTTTGCTTTCCTTCCAGGCAATTCACAAGGCCACGGTCGATGTTAGAGAGAATGGCACAGAGGCTTCTGCAGCGACCATGCTAGAAATAACACTGTTGTCTCGACGGTTTCCTCTTCCGCTTCACATCACCTTCAACAGGCCCTTCCTGATGATGATTATTGACAAAACCACCCACAGCATGCTCTTCCTGGGGAAAATTGTGAACCCAACTGCTAGGGAAGACTAGGCCAGAGCACTTGTACTCGCAAGTGCAGAGAAGAAAGCTTGTGTGCATCCCAGGAATTTCTTTGTAAGATGGGACTAGAATTGATCTGATCCTGAATTAATAAAAAAATAAATATTATGTCAAGTTTTTCTTTACTTAGAAACAGAGAGTTGGGTACAAACATGAGTAGGCCATGTGTACAAAATGACTTGGGCCAAAGAGGCAGCCGTGGGATCTTCAACAGACATTTTCCATGCACTTATCACTGCTATCAGGGTTTTTTGTATGCAAATACAGCTTCCTATTGCTGGCTGAGAAACTCCCAATGCTTCCCATTCCCCGTCCTCAGCTCACAAACCCCAAATCTATCCCTTTCAGCTGAAAAACCATCTTTTCCTTCCTTTTCATTCCACTGTGAATCCCAGCAGAAGTCTCCTTCACCTTCCAGGGCTCAATGGCTAAGAAGGGAAACAGAGACATAGACCTATTAAACTTTTCCTCTCCTAAATGATGGATGCTCCTTGGTAAAGAATAAACCTCTTTCTTCCAGCTTGGCAACTGCCCCCTACCATCTCCAACCCTTGGTCTGTTCCGCATTCCTCTATAGTTGCTCCAGAATAAGGGGCCAAACTTTTCTGGCAGGGCAAGAATTTAGCTTTTGTGTCTATGAAAGTTGAATATAATTGTTCAAACTACCATCCTTAATAGTCTTGTGCGTGCAGAGTAAATCATGGGATCCCTAGGAGAACAGGATTTGGCAAAACCCAAGCAGAGGGTTTTGTTTGGGGGTCATGTCTCCATTGTCCACCTGCCAGCTGATCCTGTTCACCTCCACTCGCTTCAGCAAGCTCACATTGATCAGTGCTTCCAAGAGGTTTCTTGCCATTAAACTGATGTTGAGGGTACAGAAGGGTGACTTGGACACCTTCCTGAGTGCTGAGTAGGCAGAAGCCAGTGTTACCAGCATTACCATGTGATGGAGAGCTGTGTTGCAGTATCAAATTTAATTAATTAATTAATTAGCAATTAAAAATAGAGTAGGATAGTAATAAACAAAGATATGATTAAAAACACCTTCCCCCCAACCTGCTTCCTTCTTCCCAGGCTCAGTTTCACTCCTAGCTCCTTTACTTCCTCTGAATGGCACAGGAAAGGAGGCATGAGGGTATGGGAATTGCAGTCAGTTTACAAAGCTTCGTGTCTGCTGATCATTCCTCCTCCCAGACTTCCCCTACTCCAGCATGATGTCCCTTCCATATGCGACAGTCCACGAATGCCTCCAGCATGGGTCTTTCCTACAGGATACAATCACGAGCAGACTGGTCCAGCACAGACTCGTCTCCATGGGGCTGCAGTTCCTGCCAGGACCTCTCTCCGGAGCTGGCTCTCCATAAGCTGCAGCTTCCTTCTAGGATCCATCCACTTGCTCTCATGTGGGGACCTCCAGGGCAGCCAGTAGTGTGGGTTTCTGCTCCACCACAGTCCTCCATGGGCTGCAGGGGGACATCCTGTCTCACCAGGGTCTTCTCCAGGGGCTGCAGGGGAATCTGTGCTTCAGCACCTGGAGCACCTCCTTTGCTCCCTTCTGCGTTGACCTGACTGTCTGTGGGGCTGCTTCTCTCACTTGTTTTTTTGAGTTCTCCCTCTCAGAACTGCCACACAATGTTTTTTCCCCTTTTCTCAAATATGCTTCCCAGAGGTGCCACCATCTTGGCTAAGGGGCTCAGGTGTATTCTGTGGTGGGTCTGTTAGAGCCATCTGGAACTGGCCCTTTCCAGCACGGGACAACCCTGACCTCTTCTCACAGAAGCCACCCTGCAGCCCCCTCTGGCAGCACCTCTGCACAGACACCTGGTATGCAGAAACTCAATCCTCATATGAGGTTCACTATGGATAATGCGATTTAATGGATGGGTAGAACACTTTGATGGTGCTAATGAACTGCCAGGAGCTCTGGTTAGGCTCCCTTCACAGCATCCTCTCAGCATCAAGAGCTGGAGGGCACTCCTCAAACACAGCCTGAGCTGAGCGCCTCTCCCTCCCCCGACCCCACCTCTGAGGTTTCCAGCCTCAGCTCTGCTCTCCTCCCTAGGAAAAGCTGGAATCAAACAATCCCCTGAGCAGGCCTAGGACTCCCTGACACTGCTGGAGGGCTGTGGCTTCTGCATAGACTGGGTCAGAGCTGCTAAATCCTTTTCCCATTGTGGTTTGGTTTGGGAGAGCCCTGACAGGTCATACAGCTGAGAGAAAACCATAGTGTGTGTATTTGCAGTGAAAGATAATAGAGCCTTTCATGTGAGCAAGCACAGACCTTTTCCCAGTCCTACGGGCAGAAAAAACCCAACCTCTAGCCAACCTACTCACGCAGACCCAAAGACTTGCTTAATGAAAAATATTTTCTCTATAATCAACCACTTTAAAGTTTGAAGACAGAAACCCAGCAATGCTCCATGGAAAATCTGAGTCACCTATACCTGTCTAGCTCATTTTGTCTCTCAGGAAAATAAAATCAATTGTTTCAACACTGCTTGAAGGGGCAAACGTCTGCTGTTGGAGCCAAGCCAAGGATTTCAGCGTTGCACAGCACGTTGTAGCACAAGCTACAAGTCTTTTCATCCACAGCTACTAATACAGCTTGCCCAGTCACTGCTCCCCTGCTTTGGGAGTGGTGAGGTTTAGGGGAGCAGTTAACTGTGTGCTACTTGGGACATGTTAGAGGGAAGGTAAGAATAAGAATAAATAGGAAACTGTTCATATTGCCTCATTGCTTACCCCCTGCTCTGCCCAATTCTGGAAAATGAAACCCAGGAACAACTCCAGTTTTACTGTTTAGTAGTAAGTATCTGAAATGGAAACCTTTGTAAAAATTCTTAATTATCTCTTTATCAGAACTGTGATAACTGTTTTCTTATGGAAAATAGTACAAGTTTGCTCGGTGCCTAAAAGCAGTTCTTTGAGGGTAGAAAAATTATTTTGGCTGAGAAGATGGGTCCCAGCTATGTTTTTGTAACTTCCCTGCAACTGCAAATAAGAACAACCACTCAAAAAAAAAGTTTTAAAAGGCAGACCAGTGATTTCTCAAATAAGCAGTTTAATTCAAAGACTTTATTGGAGATTTATACGGGTTTTGGAAAGGGGTTTAAAGAGTTGGAAGAGAACAAGACTGTTGAGCTGATTTGCTCAGCAATTTTAGCTCCATGATGGAGCTAGGGGGAGTATAGCAAGAATATGATGATTTAACAGAAAAAGTTGAAAGGTTTACAGATGTTTGGAAAGTCTGCCATAAAACCAAAGGCAACACAGTGGCCCAGTTGTAGATATCCTGAATCACCTCTGGCTGAAACTGAAATTCTACCAAGAGGAAAACAAATCACCCTGGGCCAAGATAACACCAGTAGACTGCTGAGCCTTCATGTTTTCTGGAGCAACATGGAAAGAAGAGGGGTGGGAGAGTAAAATCTCTCTGAAGAAGACAAGGAACCCTTGGCCACGCTCCAACATCCCGATGCTCCTCACACTTAAGACATACTGACCCAAGGGAAAGAAAACTTGGAGCCAGCACATAGAGTGGACTGCCCATGTGTTGTGCCCCTGTGTTATCAGGGGATAACTAACCTTGCCTTGTCCTCCACCAGAATAGCACCTGCAGGTAACTAGCTAAAATCTCGAGGATGGGGATTTTGATCCTTGATGATTTCCTTTGTTAACTGAAACAGTAGCATCTACCCCTACTGTACTGGAATATTGGGCATACAGCATCTGTAAGCACATTGACAATTAAAACTAGATTGCATTAACTTTGCAAGCTTTTGCCTCCATTTTGCATAGATTTTGACAGCCAGGTCTCTCTATGCCTTCATTAATCATCTGTCTCTGCTACTTTTCATGTCAAGGCCCTAGCTGAGAAGGCATTTCTGAAGTGCTCAGAGGCAGCAATGCTGTTGCTTAAGTCACAGGAAACCTGACCCAGCACAACCTACAGTCAACCATAAGTGGGGATGGAGATTATCTGAGCAGTGCTTATGTTTTGTATTTCCAAACAGTCTGACCTGACATCCAGCAATTTTATGGTTTTTTAGAAGCAACAGGGAATGTTGTAAACAGCAAGCTGTCATATTTGAAAAGCAACATATTGCACTTGAAAGTTACTCTGAACTCTCTTGATTTATCTGAAATGCACCTATTGAAATAATAACCATAAATAGCCCCAAATCAGAAAGAGTCTGAAAAAACCCACCATGATTTGCCCTTGGCTAACATAAAATCATGTGTTAAAAGTGTATTACAACAGCTTGTTAGGTTGGAGTCCTTTTCTGTTCTGGGTCTCTCAAGTCCCTCTCTTCTGCAGGGTTGCAGTACCTCCCAGTTTGCTAAGGTATCTCCTTCACAACTGCCTTGCAAGGAAGGAATTGCATCTGGGGATCTCAGGTCCATGTGCATTAAAGGAATTTCATAAGACTGTGGAAAAGACCAATGCACTTGACTTCCTTGGTTGGAGAACCAGGTAGTGCTACCCCACTTGGCATGTGTTATTTCCAGTAACACCTGGAGCTCCTTGGTGGTTGAGAATTCAAGCAAAGAATTTCTCGTGAGCCCTTGGGAAAACTTCTGGCTTAGCCAATAGCTATTATATGCACAGTCAAGTGGATTTTCTTGCCAGCTATATTTCTTTGAAGATGTGCCAGTACAGGCAGTGCTGGGGCAGCTTGTGTCAAAGGGACACATCAGGTTTTTAGTGTTTTAAAACTGTAACTCCTTCTAGCTCTGTTAATGTTTTCCATGAAACTTGTTAGTCCTCATTTGTGAATCTGTGAGCCTTTAGGCAAGTACATCACATTTACATTAAAATTTTGCATGCCTACGTGCTGTGTGGAAGTCAGTGGGAGCTATAGATATGTATTGATTGTCTGTACTGCAGATAGCATTTAAATAATGCACTGAAAAAGGAAATAGAAATCCACAACTTCTGTCTGATATAGGAATACAGCCATTCTTTCCAAATCTCTGCAGGATCTGTGGCATTCAATCACGTACAGTGCATTTACATTGCCCTTTGTTCAACTCTCATTCAAGAACAAAGTGCCCAAAACTGAGCACTATCTATTCTCTCCTCTGAGAGACAGTCTGCAATGCTGGACATTCAC